TTTTTTTATTAAAAATTTAAGAATAATATTTATAGTTATCTAATATTTTAAAAAAATAAAAATTAAATAAAATTCTTTTGTGATTAAATAATTAAATTAAAGAAAATAAATAATAATAAATTTAAAGTAAAAAAATTATTTTTCTTTAAAAAAATCACAATTAATATATGATAAATTTCGGGCTTATTTCCTTTTTTGCAAAGGGAGATAATTGCTCCATCGACGGAGTCTGAAGGGGGTGAATTCGGTGAGTCCTGCGGCCGGAACTTTCAACTAGCCATCCTTCAGAAAGATTCCGGGACGAAAAAGGATTGCACCAGCCGGGAATCGAACCCGGGTCTGTACCGTGGCAGGGTACTATTCTACCACTAGACCACTGGTGCTTGTTGACCAAGCCCTTCCTCTTTTAAGATTAAATTACATGACCCTTCTCCATTTGTTCCCTTCCGAGGAGGCGTTAAGATTGTTAAATTCCATAATTCACCCTGTGAAGCTACCATGATCAATTTTTTTTAGAGGCCAGAGGCCCGTATATCTATGTTATCCCCAAAAAAAAGGGGGAAAAAATTGATGAATGAAAAAGCTTACCCCCACCCCAAAAAAAAAAAAGAAAAAAGTAATAGATGAAATTCCAGAATATCTAGAGTATCACATTACTATGCATGGAGAATCTATCTTGGCAAGAAAATTTGGATATATACATATTCATCTAGTTTCATACAACAAAGGATCCATATGATGAGATGCACCTCAAATCTTTGAATATTCCATTTGCACATGCAGAAATCCTGCATTATAATCATGATGTTTGATACCTGGTGAAATTGCAACAAAGGATCACTTGAGGTGGTGTCAGACACATCAATGCCACTAATTCTTTTTTTGTACAATCAATAGCATGGTTTACATCAAAATTCTATAACATTTGGTCTAAAACACCTTCCTTGCTCAAATGACTGCTTTGTAGTTGCAGATTCATTGTCCAACAGTGATTGTCCACAAAGCAGTTATGTATCTTCCTCGGGGCTTGGCCTCTATGGTCACAACACAAGCCTATTGGGATCATGGGTAGGAAGTGGGAACTACATCCATGATTGTTCAACAATAGACAACATAGTGCTCAATTTCATTCTTAGACTTGTTCACAAGATCTGCCTTGTTACAAAGCTCAAGTGAGGTTTCCTTGTTGCCTTCACAATTTTATATCAAGAAACAAATCATATATTTCCTTATCAACAGTCAACCCTCATCTTCTCATCTCATCAAATAGTTCGCTTGCCTCCAAAAATTTCTTCCTCTTAAGATAACCTTTGATCATGGCATTATAGGAACTAGGTGTGTGACTAAATCCCTTCCCAACCATTTCTTTGTGCAAAAACCATGCCTCTTTCATATTTCTTGCTTTTGAATGCCCTTTTATCAAAATGTTATAGGTGTTGCTATCAAGCAACACTCCTTGAACACACATACTTTTATAAACTGCAGTCGTAGCGCACATGTTGTTTCTGATGTAATACTGCTTCATAAGAGAATTGTAGGTGATCGCATTTGGCGTTATACCATTGTCCAACATTTGTTTTAGCAATCTCTCACTTTCTTCCAACATTCCAGACATACAAAATCCATTCATTAGCACATGGAAGGTAACAATAGTTGGCTGGAGCCCTTTGTCAAGCAAGACAAGCATTCTTTGTAGTAGCTCTTGAGCCTTACTCATATCCCCTACCTTATAGTATGCATCCATTAGAGTGGTATATGTAAAAGTATCAAGATTGAGCCCTGCCACTTCCATATCTTTTATAAGCTTTATAGCTTGAACAATATTTCTTGCTTTACAAAATCCATTTACCATTACATTGTAAGTGATAATATTCAATTGAAGGCCCTTCCCACACATCTCATGAATAAGCTCATTTGTTGTATCCAACTCACCAGATTTACAAAGTCCATCTGCTAAAGCACTCTCTGTGACAACATTTGGGAGCAACCCTACCTGAACCATCTGGTTTTGAAGTAAAAAAACATCTTTCATCTTATTGACCCTAGAATAACCATCAATAAGGGCTATACATGTAACCTCATCTGGTTCCAACCCTTTGCTACACATTTTAAGGAAGACTTTGTTTGCTTCAATCATATTTCCAATTTGACAAAATCCACAAATAAGAGAGGTATAAGTTAATAAATCAAGCATAATTCTCCAACACTACATCTCGTGAAACAACATATAGGCACTCGAAAGATTTCCATGCTTATAGAGACTATCAATGAGAGTTGAGAATACCACACAATCAAGACAAATCGATTCCTTCATTGATCATCTCCCTCAAAATCTTCTCAGCTTCAACTATCTTACATATTTTTAAATTATTTATAAGGATGGAGATCCCTTGGGCTCCACAGGATAGGAAAAATTCCCTGCAAAATTTCACGAGAGAAAATGCTTCTTGTCCTCGCCCCGCAAGGAGGAATATTCCTCCTCACCACGAGGATCCCCGTGGGGCCAAGTAAATTGCCATCCTTACCTATTGGCATAGTGGAACTCACAGTGTACCTTTTGTACTAGCCTTGTGTAAGTTTTAAGTTCCCCCTTCCCAAAAAGTTCAAACCATTTATAGAAAGAAAAAAAAAAAGAAAAAAAAAAAGATAACTATCTTTCTTAGAGGCAATTCATCAAATACCATTTGGATAAAGTAAAATCCCTTGCACTAAGCACTTGCATTCAAAGTGTAAGCTACCTACATCATAAAAATGGTATCCCCATATCAAAAAAATCTCCCTTGGATTCATGTAACATATTTCTTATTGGTATAACCGCACAATCTATTGACTTTATCATTTCATCTGGGAACCCAATTCCACAATGCTGCAAAAATTCAAGAAAAACAAAAACCCAGCATAAAACAGAGAAATAAAGCGAACCCATCAACTGGGAGAGGTCGAAGGTGATACATTGAAGCTAATTAGAACCCCAAAGCTTCTTGACTTTTAGTTTAAAAGCACAGAGGGGAAACCTACTTGTTGCGTTACCAGTGTGGCATGCTTCTCCGTCTCCCAATTCTTAAGATTAATCGAGCAAACTTCTCGAGTACCATAAAAGAGGCCTAGAAAAATTCTATTTGGGCTATAGATTAGTACTATCAGGTTTCGATTCAAGAAAAATGAGAAAATTAGGTGAAACTTGGGCTTTGAGGAGAGCCCAATTTCGGGAAAATAAATTAAGAGAAAGAAAATTATACTAATGTTTTTATTTTGTGGGCCATGTAATATAACTAAAAGAAGCATTTTTTGGTCTTTTTCTCAATATAATGCTAATTCTTTAAAAATGAGAATGGATTTTCTTAAGGGAAAAATATTTTTCAGTCATATATGTAAAAAATTAAACAAGAAAATACTTAAAAATTATATTATTTTAATAATTTTTCATTAAAAAATAAGATATATTAATTTTTAAAATAAAAATAAAATTATTTTAATATTTCTCATAATACATTATTATGTGTTACAAATAACATAATTAAAAATTTTTTTTTACCTAACTTTTTTGCAACTCTAATTAATATATACTAATCTCTTTCCCAATCCCAAAGGTCCTTGCTGTCGAAATTTGAAGTTAAAGGTTTAGAACCATCGAACAAACAAAACTAATTAAATTATAAATAATAATAATAATAATTACCGTCTGTCTAGCATCGACATATTTGTTCTTCTGAATGTATCCCAAGGCTCAAGCTCAGATTAAAAAATGCATAAAAAGACAAGTACTTGACATTTTTCCTTTTAAAAATGCTAAAGTTATGATAAACGAGTAGACAGAGAGATGAAAATTAATTTTAATTTGATTGGCTCTGGATTGGATTTTTCACTCTATGGATTACAAAGCAGTTGTATGTAAATGGCAGCCGTATATATATCTCTGACATTGGGGAATGTTAAACAAAATGGCCTAAAGAATGAATTTGGAAAGGGAAGCAGCGACCTAATATGTCTAACTTAACCCCATACATACAAAGACATACTATAACTGCAAAATTTGTTCCTCGGTTTTGCTTTTGAAATTTACCATGGAAAACATCGTCTTTTGTCGTTGCTTAAGGGTCATCTCATGTTGCAGCACTGAGGTTTTCCTTGCAATTGCAATTTATCCCACATGCACAACATATGTCTGGGAGATTGGTAGTGAGCTGTGTAATAATCCTCTATGCATCCGAATTGGCAGAACTTCAAGCTGTGTGTGTACTCAACTGATTTTGAACTGTTGAACTGTTCTACCCACATTCCCATGCTCACATCTTCCATCTTGAATAGCTGAAACAAGTGTACACTGATTTAGTTATCCGTGTTTATCATTGCCAATGCTAATTTAAGTGTGCACAAAAGAATCCAAGCAGGAACACTGATTTAGACAGAAACACAAGCAAGTGCAGATGAGGATGCAACCAAAAAGGCAAAGAGGGTAAGTCAAAATAGATGACTTACTCGCAACTTGTGTTTCTCAAACTCTGCTACAACAAACTGTGCAATGTCAGATGACAGTATGTAACCTGGACCATTTGCATATGGTGGATAATCCTCTTCTGGCCATTCCTGGAGCTCGTCATAAACAAAAAACAGTGAGCAATTGCTTGTGATACAAGCAATACTGCTAGAATTGCAAATTTTCACCATGGAACAGAATTTCTTTGGTGAAATGCTAAAAAATTCTCAGAAAGGTTATTCTCAGGAAGTAAAATGACTGTACAAGGACATAAATAATATCATGACAAAAGAAATATCTTAGAAGTGTGTACGAAAAACAATAAAGTGTTCTCATCAACCATTATGAAGAAAAACCATTTAAAACCTAAAGACTATAATTCAAAGTAGCAAACAGATCAGGCAAAAGAATAGATCTAAAAATTTCAATAGAGATCATACCTCATATGTCACAGCCCACTTACCATACCGCAGGGGCTTATGGTAGTAGTTAATGTTTCCAATATAAAGGCTCTTATCTCTAGGGACTTTACTTGCTTCTGCAATAACCGCATCTACCCTAACAAATGTGTCATCATCACACTTCATAACATACTTTGAAGCCACAGTGCGAACCTGTTACAACCAGAGAAGGGTGACAGTAAGTTTTACTCAGCTTTTACGATCAAACAACACAAACATCCCTTCTAAAATAATTGACAATAATTTCCATCAAGAAAGAACTGTAGTTAATATTAAATCATATCCTATCCCTCACCCCATATTCACAGATGGCAACAGTCTTCAGTACAACAAGGTCATAGTTATCCATGTAAGGGACTATAACAATATCACCAAAATACTCAGCTTCCTTCTTCAGCTCTACATTTACTTCATTTCTTCCATGCTTAAACAACAAAAAGAAGAGAAAAAAAATCCAAAGCCCATGAGTATTTTTCATTCATAAAGGATTTCTTTTAGAAACAGCATGCTTCTATATAAACTCTTACCAGTGCTACAAAGAACCTAGCTACCACTTTTGAAGATTTTATTAACTCATGTTGCATCCAAGACTTTCTCACAGCCATCCGCTCGGCAAAATGATTACCAGCAGAAAGTATTCCAATGAAAAGTTCTACATGTCCATCAGGAAGCACTGGTGCTTTCCATTTGCTCAACTTCTCGAGATGCTTTTGTGGAGCAAAACTTGGATGTGAAGTGGGTAAGGAAGCAGCAAATACAGAGTGCACATCAATGTCTCCAGTTATAGATAGTCCAGTGGCATCCTCAAGAACAAATCCCTGTCGGTATTATTAGTATATTTTTTAAGATGCTTCAGATCATCAGAAGATTAAGCAAACAACAAACTCACAGTTCGGTAAGGAAAAGAGGTAACATGGCGCCCATCAACGTTGACATGGTAACCCTCTAATCCAGCCCTTAAAGTAAGAACAAACAATTTTCCCTCTGAGAAAGGATATGACCAGTCTAACGTCACTTTCTTCTTTCTTCCAATCAGCCTGTTCAACCACCATGTAGCCTTTAATTCTTCTGAGTGATTTTCATCATCTCGAATCCATTTCTCACATTTAACCTGTCCATCAACTTCACAAAATCCAAACAATCAACAAACATGGAGAATGTTACTCTAAAATAACAGAATCCTAACTCTACTAAGAAATCTTTCAATATGCATACATTAACAACATGCCAACAACCATAGCCACATAAATAACATCACAACTTCGTTTAAACATTCAAATTCCACATTACTCCACAGCCGATTGATTTCAATGCAAAAACATAATAATAGTAATAATAATAATAATCCACCAACAACCCACAGAAACCACTCATATCACCAGTGAGTCATCGACAGTCCAAGTAAACACTCTTAAAAACAAATACCTGTTTCCTCATCAGCTTTAGACGTCCACCCCTCGCACCTCAATGCAGTACCCCATTGCATTCTGTAACAAGTATTCTGCTCGATCACTGGCTTCCCGCTCCAGTCTCCCTTCAGCCTCGGATTGAAATGCAGAATCCGCGGCGGATCCTCACCATCTACAGTCCTCAATCCTTGCAACTCCATCCTAAATTGCGACACCATTATAGAGTCATCCCCCTCTTTCAACACCGTTATCTTTGGATCGTGCTCCGCATGAGCCCAATGGGGCAAACCCACAATCGTAATGTGCGATCCCAGCGTCAAGCCACAAGGTAACTCCAAGATCTGGCTCCTGTTCAAGAACTCCGACCCAGATAGAGAAATGGAATCCGGGCAAGATTCCGTTTGGTTTCTAGTTCCGTTCTCCAGTTTCTGTGTCGTATCCGTTTTGATTTTGCCCGATACGAGCTCGTCCCACCGTTTCTTCCCCACCCTAAATGCATGCCTCGCCGCTTTGTGAAGCACCGAGAACTCGTCTTTGGCATCATTCGCGTCAAACGAACTCTCGTTGAAGAGAAGACCCGACAGTTGATTGAACTCACGCATTTGCCTCGCCGGCATTATCGTCCCATTCAGCGCCGTTTCCTCCTCCGGTCGAGCCGGGGCAGATAGGTCAGTAAAGTCGACTTCGCTCTCCAGCGCCTGAGGCCGAGGCAATATGTCGGTGAAGAACCCATTCTGACCCGGGGAGCCAACCCCAGCTCTGAACACCAGAGGGATTTCGAAGCTCACGAAGAGAAGATACAGAAACAAAACACCCATCAAGAGCTGAATCAGCCTTAGACGACTCGGCTGCATCACCGACTCAAATTTTGTTCGCTTCATCCTTACTTCAAGGAAAAAACCCACTAACTTCTATGCCGAAACTCTGAGAAACAGATGATGGGTATTGCTTGTTTGGCTTCCTGGATGGAAATTTGAAACCTAACCCTGTATTTAACACTGATCTCGACGAAGAAGAACTGGGGTTTACTGGTTCAGTAAACCGAAAGCATATTTCGCATTAATGGTGATGAAACTTCAAAGGAAGGGAAATTGATTAAGAAAAGAGTATAATTTACAATAATTTACATTAATTTACAACAAAATTTTCAAACTTTACGCCGGAAAAAGGGAACCGAAAGATTTTGTTTAAAAATCTTTCCCCCGAAGCACTTCTCCGCTCTGGGTGCAGGCCAGACGCTTCCCCGTTCTTAATGGCGAAAAAGAAATGAAAACCCCACTGCCTGGTCCCTGAACTTCATTTTCTTCGCATTTTAGCCTTTCGACTTTTTAGTTCACGGACCGTGAAAAGAAAATATCAAAATGTTTGTCATTTTATATATATTAGGATTGTTTTTGAAATTATTTAATTAATAATTTTTGTGTTAATTCATTAAAATATTTAAATATTTTTATTATCATTCTTAATATATTTGATTGTCTACATATCTTGATTTTTTGCAATTTCTTATAGATATTAGGCCCATAAAATACATAACTAGGTTAATTAACGCGAAAGTCAATTTTAGAAAGCATTATGTAAGGGAGATCTAAACTGTTTGATATAATGGTTTAAAATTTGTAATTACCAGTTTCATCTAATTAAATAATTGATAATTATTATTATTATTTATGTAAATACTTTTATTTATTAGATTAGATCAACTTGCTAATTATTAGTTTTAAATTGTTATATTAAACACTCCAATGTCCAATCATATAGCTCTTGACTTTGAAAAAGATGATGACATGAAACTAATTTTCTAATTGAAGTACTATCAAATTGAAGGAGTTTTAAATGTGAATAATTATATTAATGCTAGAATGGGCAAAGATGTGTGTGAGACCCATATCATAATTCAATGGCTGATAAAATTTGACTAAATCTTTGCTTTCTTTAGTTTTTGCATTATTTTTCAAAACACTTATACTGTAAAAAGTTAGATTAAAAAATTATTATTTATAATATCTTTTCTATTCGTGAAAGTCTTGTTGCCTTTCACATTGAATTAGGAAACTAACAAGGCGAGAGTGGAATGGACAATAGATAGACATGCGATAATATGTACAATATTATGGCATGAATAACTTTTTATGCTTCAACAAGCAAATTGTGTACTTTGGTTACTAATGACCTATGGCCGTCATGAATTAAGTTCGGGAGTGCATCCTATAAGAGTTAAAAGTTGAAGGACCCAAGATAGCTTATTCCACAAAGTTATTTAAGTGAAAAATATAAAAAAGTACAGGTTCTCATGAAAAAAAATGAATAAATGAAGAAAGTATGGCTCAGGAGCGTCAGACCGCTGACACGGTGTCCCTTGGGGACAGGCAGTAATGGCAAACACACCCCACGTTGGGAGTTACCATCTCTCCCGTCAACTTTAATTCTCTACCATTAAAAACTTTTTTTTTTTATGAAATATCATTAAGAGAAAAGTGTTTGACATTTGTCATTTGGATTTCTCAAGA